GATTAGTTTTTTTTATTAATAACAATATTCTATGTCTTTTACCAAAGTATCCATTTAAAAACAAGATGGAACTCTTGAATCTAATACGATAAAGACTTTGTGATTTTTAAGTCTTAAAGAAATATCTATTATAAAAAAATATGATATTTTTCAAAAGAAATAAAATTTTTGATATTTAAAGAAAAAGATTCTAATTGCATGGTTCTATTGTAGTTGAAAAACTAATTTTTTGACAATTTTTTATTTAATAGCCATGCTATTCATTTAGTCATTGTATTAATTTTTTAAAAAATATTAAAGAATGTACTTAGGTTCTCTACAATGTAAATACAATTCTTCTTAAAAATCTTAAATCTTTTTGTTTTTAGTAAAAAATTTAAAACATATCACATGAATTTGCATGTCGTCCACTTTTGAATGAATGTGTTAAGGAGACATTGATATTGTTATTAAATTATAAATATATTAAGAAACACTTATTTGATTCTTAGATTGAAATTCAAAAAGCTAAGTGTTACACTTCACAACAAAATCAATTTTTTTGATTCAATGTTTAAAGATGAAATAAGTTCAACATCATTTTTTTGACTTCATATTGGAATTCCTAGAAAAATTGACTGATGAATGCAAGATTATTCCACTTGATATTAATTACAAATTAATAGCACTATGATGCATATAATGATATTAAACAATTACCTTGATATAAATCTTTTTAGTTGTAATACAAATTTAGTCATATTTTAATTATTGAATATTAAATCATCTTATTGAAATAATAATAATAAAAAAAAAAACATGATAAAGTTAAATTTTAAAGAAATATTTTAATAAACTTGATTAAAGTTCTAAAAATTAGATAACTTTGAGATAGAAGATCAATTACTAATTATTCATGATTCATAAATCCTTAAAACCTTAATCTTGTACCATTAAACTTCTTATACAAGAAAATTCTTATTCTATTAATAATTGTAGTGATGCTTGAACAATATTACATCTTAAAAGATATAATATGATTAGGATTAGATATTGAATTTGCTCTAATTATTTCTATATCTTTACTTCTAATCAAACTTATTGCTCGTTAAGATAGTAAATTGAGTTGATATATTTTAAGTATCAATTTCTTCATTTCTACTATTGCATCTTTCATTTTAACAAGCTTTGATATAATAACTCAATAGAAAAGAAAATGCCTACTATGACTTAAGACAAATAGAAGAGAAGACTTAAGAATAAAGAAAATTCTAATAACAATATAAGTTTAAAAGTAGATAATCCATAACTTCTAATAGCTTATGTATTATCAAGAGAAAAGATAATATATTCTTAATGAAGAAAGGACAAAGTTTTAATATTATATGTGTACTCATGTCAATTTTCAAGGATAAGAACTTAAAGAATGTAATTAAACAATTAAGATGTATTTCAAAGAATGATGATTTAAAAGAAATAAGAAAGTATGTATATTTAAAAAGATAATGGAATAATTATTATCAAAGATAAAAATAAATAAAACTACAAGTTTTTGAAACTAAACTAGAAGTAAGAAAAGAATTGATGAGAATAATGAAAGCCTTACTCTTACTTCTTTATTCACTATCTAACTAAGACATTACGTGGCAATATTTTATATGTCATCCAACACATGTTCAACTTGCATAGCATGGATCTAACTTCCAAAAAAAGTTTCTAAGATGTTTACCACATGGATAACTTATTGGTCGAGTTTTCAATCTATTAATTATCTACAAATACTTGTAAAATCAAATCCAACTCTATAGAGCTTTCAAAAGGCTTCTTCATAAGATATTATTAAATTTACCTACTTCTATTTCTATCTAATTTTTTTATATTTATAATACTAATTGATTTGTATCTTTAAGATAGATAGTATTTGCATTAATTCTTACGAGGCTAGTATTACTAAGTTGAAAGATAGTAGTCATGTCATTGATATTGTGTTGAAGACAAGATACTAGTAGGAATTCATATATGATTGATTGATTTGTCAAAGAATAGACATATTTTATTTTGAGACAATAATTAAAGTAGACCCAATTGGTGTATTATTGCAATTTTACTTTACAACATGTAAAAAAATTAAGACTATGTGATTGAATTAAAATGATTGTTGAGTGATTTGTTTTCTATTATATATATATAAAGCAAGTGGTTTATTTTCAACAATTGAAAGAACCATATCTACAAAATGAAAAAAAAAAAAAAAAAAAAAAAAAAAATCTTTCTATAATATAAATATTATTATTACTCTAATTGGCTTTTGATGATTTCTTGAAAAGATTACATAAAATTAAGAAGAAGATATTGGAGTTGATTGTATTGTCTAATGATTAGCATTGTCTCTAATTCATAGCATCAATTGATTAGAATTTGACAAAACTAATTATTGAGTAAAAATTACTTGTTACCAAAAGATATAATTTTTAAACTGTAATGTACACTAATTAATTTCAATAATATGTTTTGAATCAAATATACAAATTGTTTTAAGTTATGCTTATTTTTTTATTTTTTCTTTGGCAGTTTGCCTCCCTATGTTCAAATTCTATTTAGCTATGACCTACTTATAAGAAAAAAGATGATCAAACATGCCTTTAAACTTTCAAATTTGAATATACTAGCAAATACAATTAAAAATATATCAATCTTAGATAGATTAACAGGTATATTATAATTCATTTTAAAATTAATAATATCTTTTAAAAAATAAATATATTACTAATTCATGAAACTTAATAAATATTTTTAATATTTTTATATCTTATTAAATTTAATTTAATAATATGCTTTTTAATTATCAATTGTATGATCTTTATGCTTATTGTATGCTTTTTAATGGTTTAGGATGGCTACTTTAAAACCATGTGCACTATTAAATGCCTTGCAAAGCATTTTATATAACAAAAGAAAGAAAACTATCAATAATAATCTTTTAGCACATTATAAGTCAATACACTTTAAAATAAAAAAAACCAATATTATAAATCTAAAATAAATATTAATGTATTATTTAATAAATAAATAATTAAAACAACCATCTCTAATCAATCTAAGTTTTAATTTGTCATAGACATGAAAGAAATAGACAAAATCAATGAAGAAACTAAAAAGATAAACCACAAATATATAATAGATTATTATGCATACATTTAATCTTTTAACAAGGTCAAAAGTATATAAAAAATATTTCAAAAGCTTAAAAAAATGTGACTAAAAATTATAGTATCGAATCTCAAAAAACTTATCAATACTTAGTTATATTATATGATTTGAAGCAATACTACAATTAATTGGCTTTTACTTTATATAATCAAATTCTCTTGTAGTTATTAAATATATAAAATATAGTGATTATTAAGCAATTTTAATATTTTATAACTATTAAGAAATTTTAAATAACTATAATTTTAAAATAACTATATTTAATAAGAAACGTAGTTATTAAATATGTAAAATATATTTTATTTTACAAAAATTAATCAAAATAAAAACATAAAAAAATACAACCAGTATAATTTTAAAATTTAGAAAATCTTATAGATTTTAATATCTTATCACATCTTATTTTTTAGGTTTTATTATTGTACATCCAATTTAATACCTTTTAAAGCAAATTATGAAGTACAAGCATTTTCTTCCCTCAATAAACCTTAGCCTTTGTTTTTATCTTAAATTTGGTTTAGGTATTAAAAAAAGAAAATTAAAAATCTACTCAATATTAGAAGTAAAATTCAAAAGAGTCTAGTATATTCAAAAAAAAAGTCTAGTATATTCAAAAGAGATTTTAACTTTTTTTAAAATGAATTTCTTCTAGTCCTTATTTGGTAGAAATATCTAAAAATTATTTATTCATCTTAAACATAAAAATTGTAGAGTGGTAAGACCTACAACCCACAAAAGTGCTTTTATCCATATCAACTTCAGAATCTTGTTGAACTTGATTTGAAAACCAATGTTTTTAATAAATCAAACCTTTGCAATATGGGATAATACATTGAAAAAATAAAAGAAAAAATAGATAAAAATAAAATCTTTTCAACTACATTGATTCAATTCCTGTTTAGATTGAAAAAATTAAAATTTCAAGTTATCTATCGTTATTACTACATGGAATGAAAAAAATCCAACAAATGAAAGAAAGGCCATAAAAGATCCTATTTTAAAACAGATTATCCAGCAAAAGAAAATAATTATTAAAACTCCAAATACTACTACTACTACTACTAATAATAATAAGTTAATCCTTTGAATCAATGAAAAAGCATATTTTTCAACTTTTAAACAACAAATAGATTTTTCACCTAATTTTCAGAAATGAACGATTTTAAGAAAAAATTGGTAGTAGAAGACAAGTCATATCTACAAACTTTGCTTCAATTAGTTTGATTAAGAACCATGATTTACTATATATATATATATATATATATATATATTAACAATAAGACTCTTAAAGTTAATAATAAGAAGATCTTATGTGTTATTGAAAGATCATGCATTTGGCCAGTTTAAAAGCAATGAAACTCCTAAAATTTTAATGAAGAAGTATGGTTTGATATTAACATAGAACTATCTTCTAGAAAATGAAAAATTTGGATTAAAAAAAAAAAAAATCCTTCAATTTTTTCTTGGTTTTTTATTTTTTATTTTTTATTTTTTATTAATTGTTTTCAAAAATATGGATCAGAGATAAATAACTGAGTATTTCAATTTAAGACATTCAATCAGGTGGAACACAACTTCGTCACCAAAAGTTAGTGTCTCCCAAGAGCCTTGAAAAGGACTTCTAAAATCCGTATAAATAATGAAAATAAGTGAGACAAACCATCTTGTGTTCCAAAAAATAAATAAATGAAAGAAAATTCTGGTGGGAAGAAGTTACATTGCGGTCGTAGGGCCACACGGCAATAGAACCGAGGAAAGCACCCATCACCGCGGTATTCATCCTTCCATGGCGAAAACTCTTCATCCATGAGAGAGAGTTCTTAGGGTTAGGACTGCCCTTGAACTCCCTCTTTCTCCTTCCTTCCCCCTCGCGTTGCCTTTGCTCTTCTTCCTGAACTCGCCGGAGTGTCTGCTTGCAGTACCTCCTCCTTCAGGTCCCTCTTCCTGCTCTTCTCTTCTGCCTTTACTCCTGCCATTCTCGTTGCCAGTTTCTCTATCTGAACTTTGTAGAGGCTGGATTTCGCTTTATTTTCTTAGCTTCGTTTTAAGTGATGTGTGCGTTAGAATCTCAGCAACGGGGTTTGTCGTCAATGTGTTTCTGAAATGCGATTCGAATCTTCTCAGGATTTGAAACAGGCTCGACTGCGCCATGTGTTTGAAGTGGTGGGGTTGTGTTTACGTTTCGTTTTGTTGTACTTATGTCCTGTGGGTTGGAAGCAGGTAGAATGGCGAAATCTAAGAATCATACCGCTCACAACCAGTCCTACAAGAACCACAAGAATGGTATCAAGAAGGTGAAGAAGCACAAATATGCCTCAAGGAAGGGGGTGAGTATATCCGTTTCTTTCTTTTTGAACGGCTGTGTTCGGACCGCAGAGTGACACTGTGCCTTCTACCTGCTGTGTACCTTACATTGCAATGTTATGATACGTATTTGAACTTCTGTTGCTCTTCTGATAGGGCATATCTTTCTGTGGCAGATGGACCCCAAGTTCCTAAGGAATCAGAGGTATGCGAAGAAGCACAACCGGTCTGGTGCGGCCAGTGAGGTTGAGGAGACGGAAGAGTAAATTTTAGGTCGGCCTAGTATGTGGGAGATACGCTCTTGTTAAGTCCTTTCCACATGTGGTGATTGATTCGAATTCAGAATATTATTTCGTGTTGAAAGGTTAACTGTGCTCTCTAATGTGGTTGTGATTCTATTTTTTTTCGTTTTTTTACCTATCCTAGATCTGGGTTTCCTTTTCTACCCCCGATAAGCTTGATTTTTTGGAGGTGCGGACAAGGGTTTCTCCGACGAGGCCGGCTTCTCTAAACAGATATTGGTTCACTTTTCTGGTTCTTATTTGACTGCATGAGACCAGTACGGCTTGTTAATTTTACATGTTCGAGTCCGTTACATTGGCTTTCTTGGCACCGCTATTAGTTGAAAGTTTTGGGCTACACCTTACTTTTGGTTAGCAGGAGTGCAAGAGTCCCCTAGTTATGCGTTTCTGTTCTATTTGACAACTACGTGGTGTGTAGTATGCAAGAGCTTTTGTCTTCACCATGTCAAACCAACAACTCGTAGCGTGGCAGACAAAAACATAAATGCGAATCAAAATGAATGCTGCACCTACAATTCGCTTCGGCTGAAGCATTCATTGTGTAATTAGAATTGGCATTCTATCAGTAAATAAATATAGTTTGGTAAGCAAATACCAGTTTTCAACGTATTGTCGCTGCATCGTCATGATTAGACGAAAATCACAACTTTCATGCAGTAAAACGAATCTATGTTGGACCATTAGCTCAACTTACCTGTCCATGGTAATAAAAAAAAATGCCAATAAATTAGTATTGGACATGCTTTATGCTTGTTCTATGACTACTCTGTAATTGGACTGAATTCACTTCAAAAGTACAACACAAATAGCCAGCCGCTGTATGACATTTGTCGCATTAAGACATACATTAAATTTGGTCTTATTCGCAACGCCGAATATATATTTACTTTGAACATCGACTACTTCTAATCGATGTTGGAGAACTACCCAAGTATGTTTACTGCTCCATGCTGTAATTGATGTCGCCATATTCAATTTTATATTTATACGGAATGTCTACCTTAAGAATAAAATAAAGTAGAAGTGGCAATAATAAAATATGGTATGAAAGAATAAGATACCTAACTCAAATGAAGAAAGTTCTCAAAATTGGAGGCCGTGATAGCAAGAGTAAAATCGGAGACATCCTCTTAAGATGCACGAACGAGACTTTCACATAGCATCAACACAGGCAAGGAAATACTCAAAGAACAGTTGAACGGCTGGTAATATCATGTACCGGATTCCAATCACAATTCAGACAGAAATGGTCCAATAAGAGCGAATGCCTTTTCATATTACAAGCTCCAAAATCAGAGGCAGATCGCAGACCTACTCTTCGTCAACGACCTTGGTTCCCAGATTTCTAAATCCTTCAGCAGGCACCTCAGCAACGGAGACATAAGAGTACAACTCCTCTTTAGCATCCTCATCATCGTTTCGCTTCCTGGCAATGAGTACTCGGACTCTGGTGGGAACGTTGCGGACGCCTCTGCTCCAGATGTGTTTGTTCAGCTTAACATCAAGCCGCACATCGCTGGTTCCCATAGTCTTCTGGGCGAATTTCCTGATCTCCTTCACGGCTTTGGGTGCCATCTTTTTGAAGGTGCTGTACGAGAGAAGCAGAAATATTCAGAGTGAGAAAAAAGAGCGATTCTGCCCAATAGATACACTCTTCGTAAACATTATATACCTAGTTGGAAAGTGAAAAGTACTTATCATTCAGCATTGCAGAATTCCTTGACTACCGCTAGTACCTCAAAACCTAATCTTATGGCCCAACACACCAATAAAACCTAAAACAAGAAACACCACTCGTAAGGAACCAGCATTCTCGGGGAGACCAATCAAAACCTACAACCACACGAAACCTTCACAAAAACCCCAAGTCAAGCACCTTCAGAAAAAAAATATCCACCCAATACTCATCACTCACACCACCACACTAAAATTGAACCTAAACCCTAAATTAAGCCCACACCTCACAAGCATACTCATCGAATGTGATTCCACCAGCTCATACACCAATGAGCGCATCCACGACACATCCCAATGCGAGGAGGAGAAAAGAGATGAAGCAGAGAGAAAAAAACGAAAAGCTGGAGAACAGGAAGGGGATTGAAGTTACCAGCCATGCAGTCTCTTGTGGAGATTGATGGTGTATTCGCGAGCTACGACCTCATCCTTGCGAGGCTTCGACTTCTCCACCATGGTAGCGAGTTGCAGCAGGAGACGGGTCAGGGGAACTCGAGTGGCGATGGAGATGGAGGAAGGAATAGAAGAGGCACGCTGCCAAGCTTTGTCTCCTTGGTCTCCCCTCCCCTGTTCCTTCGCCGTCAATCCTAAACCCTAAACTTTTACATCTTCACGTATGAATGAATGAATTACTGAATGAATGAAAGAACCCGGAATTCATCCATTTGGATTTCGTGAGTGGAGCCTCAGGGTTTGAATTCTGTTTATCCAAATACAACTCATGAAGCCAATCAGAAGGCAACCCGGGCTACCCCTGTTCACACTGGCCCATATTTTACTGCATCGATTGTGATCCTTCAAATCCCTTCTGCTCCGAAATTATCCTCCCAATTGCGGAGCGACGGAGTTGTGTGCTTCGAGAGACAGTTTTGCTCACTGTCTGTGCGACTTCTTGCTGCTCTTTCCTTCATTCGCTCCATTGCAATTGCAATTGAGTTTTGGGTTTCGGGTGTGTAGCTGCTCATTTAATTTTGGGTTTTTGGAATTTTGGAGAGGGGGGTGGGGAGAGAGTGGGGGGGGGGGGTGAGGGATGGAAGTGGGCGCGGCAATGGCGTCGGTCTCCTCTTGCGCGACGTCGTCGTCGTCGTTGCTGGCGTTGACAGCCAGTGCGAAGCAAGTAAATGTGCAGGAGCTTGGTTCGTTCAGGGCTTTGTGCGGTGGGGTCAAACTCAGCGGTTCGTCAAGGGTGATGTTGGCGAGGACCGGAAGGGGGAGTGCTGTGCGAGTGATCAGCAAGCAAGCGTCCGTGTCCACACCCACGAAGGAGAGTGCGGTTGAGAAGGAGGCTTATGATTGCGTCGTGGTGGGGGCCGGAATTTCGGGTTTGTGTACTGCGCAGGCTCTCGCTACTAGGTACATGCTCACTGTTTGTCTTTGCCCCCATCTTTTGAACTCGCAGACTTGAATTCTTGTCTACAATTTAGTCCAGCGGTGTGGCTATCGAGGTAGCCATTCCTTGATCATACTCGTGCAATTTTTGTGGAATGGACAATGCTATTTATTCCCCTCGCGATCCTTCCTTTTGATCTTGAACTCTCTCTAGACGCCATAATTCTGGTTGAACTGGTTATAGTGGTCGGGGGAGTTGACAAGGACCTCATCATGTGGAGGGTTTCAACTTGTCTTTTTTTTGAGCAGTCTCACGTCCTTAGCCTTTCTTAGATATGGTTGAACAGCCATTGCTTGTAAGGGTCCTTTTAATTGGAAGGCGTTATTATACTACTCTGGTTCAAGGCTCAAGAATTACCTGCTCCTATTTCATTTAGTGGAGTCTATATCATGAGTTGTAAGCTCAGAAGGAAATGTATCGTGTATGATATGGGGAATGGGTCTGCCGAGATTTTACTCCATGGTTCGCTACACTATTCAGCTTCTATAGGATTCCTTAAGTCATCAAAATCAGGATCATGTAAGTACATTGGCAAAATGAGCTTGTAACAGAGCTAGTTTTTTGTGTGTATGTTTTTCAGACATGGATCTGTAGTAGGCAATGTTCTGGTCACGGAAGCAAGAGATCGAGTGGGAGGAAACATCACAACAGTTCAGGGTGATGGATTTCTGTGGGAGGAGGGCCCCAACAGCTTCCAACCTAACGATTCAATGTTGGCCGCAGCGGTACTTAACCTACCATCGTTTCTTTTACTACATGAAGTTTGTCTATTATTTCCAAGTGGCTGCTGCGACTTGAAGCTATGTGTTATCTCATTGCATCAATCGGAAACATTCAGCATTGCTGTATACGATACTCCTTAGAGGAAGGGTGGGTGTGTGAATTTCAGAAACTAGTAAAACAATCACCAATTGAATATTGAGCTTTTGATTGCATGTGACAGTTTCGAGGTCCTCTGCTGGTGTAACCACTAAAATTTAATGCCATCTATCGGGTGTATGGTTTCGTTTTGAACAATATGTTGTTAATGTTGCAGATAGATAGCGGGTTGAAGGATGAATTGGTCTTGGGAGATCCAAAATCCCCTCGATACGTGTTGTGGGGTGGCCGATTGCGGCCTGTGCCTGCAGGTAACTGTCAATGTTGCTTAAGCGCATTTTAGACGTAAGTTGTGATGTTTTAAGCATTACAGGTGCCCCTCTCTAGTTAAAGTAGCTTCAGCAAGCATCAGGCATGGCATTTAAAAATAAAATAAAACTAGAATCCAGTATATGGAAATTATGTCATTTTAGCAATTATTTTTTTGCGCTTCACCACAGCTTTTACGGACTGAGGACTGAGCTCCGCCTAGAGTAACCTGGTCCTGTCTGTACATCATGTATTTGATATGTTACTCTTTGGAGTTTGTAATCATATTCTTGCATATTCAAAACTTAATATGCTTTGTATTTGTGCTGATGCTTTCTTTTGCGTATGCAGGTCCAGCTGATTTACCTTTCTTCGACCTACTCAGCATCTTTGGAAAGCTTCGGGCTGGTTTTGGAGCTATGGGATTGAGGCCTGGAGCTCCAGTAAGTTCATGTCTGGAAGTTTCTGTTTTTGAATTAACAAATGCGACATTTCCGGCAGATAATTTCTGTGTGGTGATTCATTCAGCACCGTATATTCGTATCAAAATGAAGAAATTTGGAAAAATGTTTCGTCAAAATCATTGAATCATATGATTGATTCGATGCAGGGCCGTGAGGAGTCAGTGCAGGAGTTTGTGACTCGTAATCTGGGCCAGGAGGTCTTTGAGCGGCTGATTGAGCCTTTCTGTTCTGGTAAGGGTTGGTTCATCTCATGTTAGAAACTGTTGTTGGAGGGTAATGGTCCCTTCCGTTGTTGATGACAAGTCAGATATCACCTACTTTCCAATGCCGATGGCATTTTCACTAGCATTACGCTAAATTAGCCAAATTTGCTTGTGAGCACTTTATTGCAATGAATTCATTTTTATGAAGAATTTTTCACTGGGGTCAGGTTATGAAGTATACAAACCTAATGAGCAGAAGGGCGTATTTTAGCCTGACTGGTCTGAATGGGTTGCAGGTGTGTACGCCGGAGATCCTTCGAAATTGAGCATGAAAGCTGCCTTCGGTAAGGTATGGAAGTTGGAAGAAATAGGTGGGAGTATTATTGGAGGCACAATTAAAATGATTCAAGAAAGGCAAAAAAATCCTCCACCTCCTCGTGATGAGTAAGTGATCTTTTCCTTCGAACGTCTTCAAAGGACAAAAAGAAAAACAATGACATTTATATCAATGTTTACGAGTGTAATTATAACTGCTGTTTCAATCAGTTCTCTCTTCCTTAACTAGTATTGATTACCCTCAATCTCCAATTCGATATGAATTTATTGACACATGAGGGGCAGTGAAGGAACGTGTGATAGGAAATGTACTTTGACAAATGAGGGAATTTTAGTGGCTATACGAATTGACGTTAAAAAAACATTTGATCTATTGCGTTTTGCAGACGACTCCCCAAACCAAAGGGTCAGACCGTTGGTTCCTTTAAAAAGGGGTTGATTACTCTTCCAAATGCAATCGCTGCACAGTAAGTTTTTTGGTTCCTAGCCCTCGTCACTTAACAACTTAAGCGAAATAACAATTTTCCACATGTTTATATTACTGCGCCTAGTTCGTCGTCCCCTGTCCTCACCTGCGAAGCACAGTTTTTCCCTTGAAATGCTTTGTTTAGGTTATCATGTAGTAACAAGCGTGGTTTTCAATTTTTTCCAGATTAGGTGATAAAGTGAAGCTTAATTGGAAGCTTACCACCATTAAGAAGACCGATGCTGGCTACGCCTTGACATACGAGACACCTGAAGGAACAAAGACCGTGCAAGCACGTTCTCTAGTTCTCACTGTGCCGGCGTACATTGCTAAGGAGATTCTGCGCCCCCTCTCTGTATGTAACTTACCTTGTTCAATCATGTTAAGGAAATGTCAGGACTGCACGTTACATATTATTATTTGACAGCTAACAGACGAAGTTTCCCAATGAAACCTAGCCTATTCTTACACATCAAGCCTTGGTTGGGATTATGTATTGTGAAATTATTTTGCCACCGGCCGCCACAGGCATCCTCTTAACATCTAGAGGCACATTAGAATATCTAATTGTGAAAATGACATTGAAAAGATCTATTTCAGACATCTAGTCATTGCAATCTGTTCCCTGCCAGTAGATGTAATTTCTGTGGAATTTTGAATTATCCGTTTACAGGTACATTTTAGAGGTTTTTGTTGTTTCTAATATTTTTTGGCGGGTGGATCAGGAAGGGGCAGCCGAAGCGCTTTCTCAATTTTACTACCCTCCGGTTTGTGCCTGCACTATCTCGTACCCCTTGTCAGCTCTACGTGAAGACCGGCTGACAGACGGAAAGCTGTTTGGATTTGGGCAGCTTCACCCCCGTAGTCAAGGTGTGCAGACACTAGGTATATTCCATACTAACTCAAGAATCACATCTTCCTTCACTCTAGAGCTGTAGCTTGCCATATCATGAGAGCCTTACCATCAATACTAGGTCTCTTCTGTAACCAGCCACATCATGACACCTTGACACCAGATGATTGCACCATTTGATTGCTGAAGCTTAAGATGTTCTAATGTTGCCTTGATACACCAGGTACCATTTACAGCTCCTCCTTATTTCCTAATCGGGCTCCAGAGGATCGTGTACTACTGCTCAATTACATCGGTGGTGCTCAATACCCACAAATTATGGAGAAGGTACATATTGATTTTCGTGACTTATGATTGCAATGTTCATAGCAAATTGATCATGTTAGTCAGAGAAATGGGTTATCAATATCGTAGACATTCTAGTACTTGGACAATGTTTGTGTGGTACGTGTTCTTTTGGATCGGTTTGTGTGGCTCTGTCAATGTATATCAACAACGATTGACGGTTCTTCTTGTAATCTTTCGATTACTGCAGAGTGACGAGGAAATCGTGAAGACGGTGGATAAGGACCTCCGAACAATGCTCTTGAAACCCGATGCCCCTGCTCCACAAATGCACGGAGTACGAACTTGGCCAAAGGCCATACCTCAGTTTACCATTGGCCATCTCGATCATTTAGAATCTGCGAAAAATGCGTTGCAAAATGCAAAGTTGGACGGGCTGTTTTTGGGAGGAAACTATGTAGTGGGTGTGGCCCTGGGTCGATGTGTTGAAGGTGCATATGAAAGTGCGCAGGCTATTTCACAATATGTCGCTACGACAACAGCAAAGACTAGTTCAGTATGACTTAATACAATAGATGAGCAAATTTTGTAATGTTCAAAAAAGTGTAGCAGGTAGATACTGAAACAGCACTGTAATTTTCATTTTAATGTATCCAACTAATTTGGAATATATCAAGCATACGTTACTTCACTTATATCTCTCCTGGAATAGCGGTATATAAAAAGTTGACAAGTTTCATATATTTTACATGATCCTGATACTTTTAGGAATAGAATATCTCAATGTCACGGAACATGACTAGCTCTCAGCAGCGATAAGAGTTTGAACTGATATGAACGCTCTGCCTACCCTAGGAAAACCATGTAGTTCCACGATAATGAAATGTTAGGTGTTCATTATCTCTACAAGAAATTTGGAAGAAAAGACGAAGGAAAACAATTCCATCTTCCAGCTCCTCACTCGGAAATTTCTGTGAAATATACCTTTCCTCCCCAATGAAATAGGTACTAAAGTCGGTCTAAAATTCCGAGTAAACATAAATGGATCAAGATTCCAGCTTGGGTCCACGGCCATGTACGTTGGCAATGTCCAGCTCCCAAATCCCTATCATGCATAATTCTTAACTAGCTTCCACCATTCAGCTAGATAAGTCATCTTATATCTCCCCAGTGTACTGAATTAGTTCTTCGTCACCAAGTCAAAAATTACCTCGTGTTGTGATCACTGTGTGTTCATATTATTTGCGACAGCAGATCCTAGCGCAATAGTGGAACTACACACCAGCCATTCCACCTCGGCATAATTTAGGATCCACCAGGTCTGAGCTGCTTGTCAAATTGTGTTGCACCGACCTTTGAAGGTTGAAAGTGGGAGGAAACAACTCTCCACTTGAAAGGAATATCATCCGCATCTGTATTCGTAAAGATGCTGCGGTGGCAAAGCACACTTGTGGGTCCAATCTAAAACCAGTCTCTTCTGATCGACCGCCTCTTCCATCAAAACTCCTTATCAATTCTAGATCAGAGCAGAAGCCCCCCCTCCCCCCTCCCCCCTGCCCATTAAATTCTATTTACATTCTTTCGATGAGCATTTCTCTATGTCTATCCCTTGCCTTGGATATGGTAAACTACTATGAACAACATAGCTTTGTACAAAAACAGTGAGGCCGACTTAGTACCCGAAATCCTTAAGGCCCTTCTGTCTTACGACGCATCACATCTGTGATTAATCGTGTACAAGGCTATCGGCCACCATACCTCAGAAATTGCGGGCATTCTTGTCAATTCTACCCAAGCAGGACTGCTGGCAAAAGTATTTTCTTCTCATATGTCGTCAAAGTCAAAGCTATCTCAGCAGAGATCCTCACCACCATCTGGATAGGAGAGTGAGAAGATGCGAGTATCAGGAGTATCATTCGGTGAATTAATAACTGAAGTAGTAAACAGTGGGGATGAACGCGCTGACAATATGGATGTTCCAACTCGAATACTACCACCTCCTAAAGCTCTTCCTACTGCTGCCATTAAGGGCGTCGTCTCAGTAGCTACAGGCTCATGAACTTGTGATTGAGCATCTCTTTTGCAGACTGGACAGAAAGGTTTGCGGAGTGTCAACCACTGATCTATACAGTCGAGATGAAACTCTGCAATATCGTAACGTTAACAAGAGTTAGTATTCCTTTTGGTATCCATCAACACGACCACAAGCTATATACTTAAACACCAACAACAAGATTTCAAACCGACATCTGAGATAACAGTTAAAAAACAACTTACCGTGCTGACATGGAAGCAACCTCAGTCGCTCACCAGGGATATAATCCTCTAAACAGACAACACAAGTCTCGGACGTGCACTTCCCGTCTTCAACGCACTTAAATATTAAGCTTGGTAGCGCATTCACTTCTTTCACACTCATTCCAGCGGGTTCCCTTAGGAGATACCGTGCGCTCAAATGTCGCAATCTGTGTTGTCTAACGAAGAAGAAGGTGGCCAATACAGAGGATACAGCAAGGAGAGAGATGAAGGACACTGCCATCACCGACCAGGCAGTGTTCTCAAACGCTGGCATAATATGGCAAGTTGCGCCCACATCACCAGCATACTTAAGCAGAAACTCCCCAGAATACTTCGAGACAAACACAGCATACGCATGGATGTTGACAGGGTTTCCTGACACTGGAATCGCAACAAAAAGAAAAAAAGAAAAAGAAAAAAAAAGAAGAAGAAACAGATCAGTGCATCCAAATATTACAGAATTCACTTTTTTTTCTTTTTTTACTTTTAAATTGAATTAAAGCAAGAAACCACATTGTAGTACCTGAAACATCTGAATAAGTTCCTGCTCCTAGGATGACGAAGAATGGGAGTGAAAGCTGACTTACTGGTGACTAATTCACGATCATCCTGATCGTTATATACGATAACTGCGGCAAATCCAGCTTCCTGAGCAAGGCGCACCTTGATCTCAAAATTGCAAACTCCACGTTGGACTAAAAGAAAAGCTGGCGCTGACCCTTTTCCTGGAGTTGAAACGTTAAGCAATGGCGAGCAAGCATCCAAAGGATTGGATGCGTACAACACTCCTCCGACACCCGCTGTCGGAACTCGTGGAGCTGCCAGTCTAACAACAAGCGGTTAACAAAAGTTTGTCCACAGAATGAACTATCTGTCTTCCACATTCGTCAAATCCAAAGACCCTCACGTAAACAGCGTCGGTTAAGACAACAATCGTCTGCTTAATTCATTGTGTCATGCATGATCGCTATACACTCTCAAACAAACAACATTGGCAGTCACAGAAACACGTACCAAATCTGCTCTCCACATCCGGGAAAGACCAAGTTTCATTTGTTCCAGCGAGTAAAATTACGGCCGAGTTTACTCTGCCTATAAGGAGGGTGAGGAGGACAAGACACAAGCCAGCTAATGAAATCATGATTTCTCTGTAACTCATAATCCTGCTCGCAAATCCTGCTTCAGCCACAACAGATGGCATGTTTGCCCTTTTCAAGCTTGAGCGAAGCAATCGACTTTCCAGGTCCACAATTAACTAGTTTCCACTAACTAGTAGCATGCTCTTTACGCATCTCGAAGCATCCACAAAAAAACACCGTGCGTGCTTGCACCAGCTGCCTTATCGGTCCGTCGGTAGCGCAGCCACGTTTCGAGAAAGAAACTGAACCAAGAAATAAAACATTAGATTGGTTCCCGCAGCTCCCTGGTGCAAGTTCCATAATCTAGTGATGCCTCACACACAGATCATTCCCATCCTTAATTGAAAATATAACCCAGTTCTAGACGAGATTCCATTCGGTCAACTAAAAAGGAGAAACCAAGCGAGCTAGAAGAAAACAAGGTGTCAGCCCAGACTTTACAGCATATACGCTACAGTAAATCAGAACTTGTCTTAATCGCGAAATAAGAAATAAATTCAAACAAAAAATCAAAAATCGCAAAATTAAAACACGAGAACTATCGAGTCGTAAAAAACGTAAGAATCCACGACATCGAAATACAACCAACACGTACAAACCACACACACCCCATCAGCCAGCCCCCAATACCAACACACATACACGCACACACACACAAACTCAAGCAACCTCCTCCATGAATGCCTCACTGTCCAAATCAAAACCTCCGAACACCATACCAGAATTCAACCTCCCACGCTTCAGAAGCCGAGAGCGAATCAACAACCCCTGCACGAAGAGCGACGCCACAGAAGTCCAGAGAATAGCCTCGCCGGTTTTGGAAGTGAGACAAGACCATGAGCGCATCCAAAAACCAAAACGCGCTAACGTCGATAATTTTAAATAAGGCAACAGAAGCGGAAACTGCGGAAAGAAAAGCGAAACGAGCTCCACGATGCACGAGTCAAGAATGAATATGGGTGGGGGGGGGGGGGGGTATGGAGGTTGGTCAGAGACACGAAACGAAGAGTGCGGGAGGGCAAAAGCTGGGAAAAGCGTTTTTGGCCATGGCAATTTGCGAGAGCGTGAGATTGCGAGAGAGCACTGTTGTGCAAGTAGGCTGGCACCGCTGACTCAGAATCCACGCACTCCTTACGTGGACACACGAGTGGGGCCTTGATATCTCGCCTTCCATATCCACTCATCCCCTGTCCAAAAGATGCCTCCGCCCTGTCTCACCTGCGCCATTTCCTCTCTGCGGGCTTCGTCCCGTCTCCGTCTCGAATTAGGATTTCGGGGAGGGAGCATTAGGGCTGACGTCACGGGGCTCCTCTCTGGGCTTGCCCTTCAAAAGGGGCTGCCCCTTTTTTGTTCCAAATGTTGTGGGTCGGATTCCATTCCATCGCCTCATATTACTTTTCAGCCTTTTAGGAAACATGAAGAAACATTCTTGTGTGTACACACACATATATATATATATATATAAATGAATATATTTATTTATACGTATATATGGACTGAAGATGTTGATAGGGCAGTGAGTGTTGAAATTGGTGACAATTATAACGTAACTCAGTATGAGCCATAATATCCATAATATCTGTCTCACCAGTGAGCTCTCTCTGGATGGGTGATGACGTGGCTTCGAGATTCCACGTCAACTTCGCAGTTGGGTCCACATGGCACCTATCTTCCAAGTGAACTGTGTTGGGATCTGTTCATGCCAGCGTGGCAAAGATGATGGATGAGAGGGTAAGGCATTACTACTGCCTTTGCACTTCCTACATTGGATCACACACTTTAAAGCTTGATACACACACTTTAAAATATGTATTTTGAAGCCTAACAAAGGGTTTTCAGTTTGTAGTGTTCAAAACAAAGGTTAATTCCCATAATGCATAAATGTTTTAGATCATTGTGATGATATTATTTTACAAAAAATAATTTTATCGTTTTGGTAATCATTTTTATTTTAAATTACATACCGTTAATTCCAGTTCTAATGTATGAGTAACTTAACCCTCAAAAGCATATAAAGATTTCATAGTTTTCTTTTTTCTTTTTTCTATTTCTTTAAGTTTGAGTGTGCTAAATTCATCAATGTGGTTTTAACAAATAAAATTTTAAATAAATAATCTATTTATGTTATATATATATATATATATATATATATATATATTCTACACATTTTTTTTTTGTATTTGAAAATTGTATGCATATTAAGACAACTATTTTATTACAATTATAATCTTGTTGTGTGGTGTTTCTATGTATAACATTGCACATTTATAAAATTTATAAAATTTTGTATTAGTTTTTTAGCTTATGATTTTTTACAGAAATTAGAAAAATTGAAGATGGATATTTAAAGAAATTCAAACGTATTATTACAGCAACACTATTTTAATCATAACCGTAAGCTTGTAAAATAATTTAAAATATAAAAGGTAAAATACCTCTAATTCAGGATCTTTTCAAATTAATTTATTCTCCAATCACTATGTGATTTGGATCATTGTATTTCATTTTCTTCTAATATAATGATCCAATTTAGTTTAGGATTCTTGCATTAAAAAAATATATTGAAGTGTCTAAAAATTTTATTTTTTATTATTGTTGTTATTTTCTACATGATTGAACTATTTATTTACGTATAAAAATGTCATTGCTTGATATCCTTTGTAATACAAAAGAATATATGAATTTTCTAAATGGAGTGTGTAAATTTTGTATTGATATTTATTAAATTATTGCACTAGAAGTTTTCCATTGAATCATATTTTTAAATATAGATATTTGTATCTACAATCAAATTTCAATGTCAATTGTATATCACATATAGACCTTAAATTAAATCAAAATTGACTTAATTTCATAAAAAATCACATCACATACATTGTAGTTTTTAAGAATGTAAAATTATTATGTTCTACAATTTAATTATGAAAAGATGTTTAGAATATATTTGTTTGTTTTGATTTTGAATTTTGAATTTAATATTTGATATGTATTTTATAATTTGTGAAAAATTTAGAAATTTTAGATTTTTTATATAATTTATTTATTCAATAAATATATATATAATATTATAGATGATTCTAATTTTGTAGAATTATTAATTTTATAATTAAAATAAAAATTTATTATAATATTTGATATTTTTTTTACCTTTCTTTTGAAATAAAATTAAAATTTTTAATATTATAAAAATTAAATGTAAAATAAACCATTATATTCTTAATTTATATGGATGTGTTTAAAGAATCTTATATATTATACAAATAGTAGTAATTATTTATTTTATACCAAAATAAAGAAATAAAAGAATAAAAATAATATATTTTAATTTAATTTTAAAATTATATATATAGAAATTAAAAAATACTACATTCCTTTTAATCCAAAAAAATATAGAAATAAAAAATTTATTTAAAGAAGTAGAGATTATAAACAATAAATTGAGATTATAAATTATTATAAAGAACTTATGCTTCAATTGATTCTAAACTTTAGTTTTTGATAATTATAAAAAAATTATTTCTTTATTTATTTTTTAAAAAATTCCAATCTTTTAAAATTTTATTAATTATATTTATTATCTTTTAAAGATCAAAGTAAAAATATATATTTTTTTAAATATATTACTATATATTTAAGAGAATGTTAAATAGATCCTTAATAAAGAATATGGTAATCATGATGAATGCATTTAATTTTTATTAGGTACAAATCCAATAATGAAAAAATAAATCTATTATTCATTATTTTTTTTCATGATGGTTGAGATAGATAGGTCAATTTAGTAAAAACTTGGGTCTATTTAACATTCTCTTATATTTATGTGTGATTAGTATAAATTTTTACTATAAAATTTGTTGCAATTAAAATGTGAATTTTTCATATTTATGATTTATATTAGTATCTTTGATATAATTTTATTTATGCTTGTGATATATAATAAGAAAAATATTAGGATCTAAATAAATGATTGTGCATTTTAGAATAGTTAGATTTATACTACATATATATTGAAGAACAAGCACTTTGAAGTCACAACACTTAGCATCAGCAAGGTTGCTTACAAAAAGGGAATATGGAGTAAGATAACTCTTACTTCCAACTCTTGTTACTTATAGGTGGTGGTTGCCAAGCAACGACGCAACTTCCATCGATATTACATCCATTTCTACTTCATCCAACTAAACCCTAGGTTCTTTCTTAATCTAGGTGCCACCTACAAATCCTAGCCGCCACCTACAAATCCTACAAGCCACCATAATAACTTCTTTATACTCTTTTGCTGTCTTTTAACTACTAATAACTTACCTAAGGTAATACCTTTTACTAATCAACTTACTTCAACACTCCCACTTTGCTATTCATGAAAGGACTTTCAATCCTAAAGCCTTTATCAACATAAGATGTCTATCTTTTACTAATGCCTTTATCAACAAATCAGCAAGCATGTCTTCCGTTGCACAATACTTCATATTAATCACTCCCATTTCAATCTTCTCTCTTATGAAGTGATATTGAATGTCAATGTGTTTTGTCTTTGAATGATGCTTGGGATTCTTTGCAAATACAAGACACCCTTGATTGTCACACTCCATTGGAGTTGCTTCCATTTGCACATCTCCAATGTCCTTCAAAAGTTGTCTTAGCCATATTGCCTCCATTGCACCATGACTTGTTGCCATGTACTCTGCCTCCATTGTTGACCTTGCAATTGTTGGTTGTCTCTTGCAATTCCATGATATAGCTCCCACTCCAACAAAGAACACATATCCCATTGTTGATCTTTTATTATTTGCATCTCCAGTCCAATCCGCATGAGAATAACCATACAAAGTAATGTTATCACCTCTAAGGTACAATTTGAAGTTCAAAGTATCTTTTAAGTATCTCATGATCCTTTTGACGGTTTTTCAATGAATTGGTCCAGCCTTTGACATGTATTGGCTCACAACACTCACCGCATATACAAGATCCACCTTTGTGCCAACCATTGCATACATTAGTAAGTCCAATACTGCGTTATATGGAATTCCTTGCATTTGACCTTCAACTTCAGCAAATTCTTCATCCGTGAGCTTCATCAACTTTAAATTAGCTTCCAAAGGTGTTTCAATAGGCTTACACTCCTCCATGTTGAATCGTTTCAACACCTCTTCAATATACTTACTTTGGCTCATTGTAATGGTCTTGTTAGCATGATCTCTTACAAACTCCATTCCTAAACAATAGTGAAGCTCTCCCAAATCTCTCATCTCATACTCTCTTTCTAACTTTATCTTCAATCAATCTATCATCTTCATAGTATTGGTTAAGATAATTAGATCATCAACATATAAGATGATAATCAATATGAACTCATTTGATTGCATCACATACAATGAATGATCAGCCTTACTCTTTACAAATCTTTTTGTCACAAAAAAAGTATCAATGCATTGGTACCATGCCCTTGGAGATTTCTCGAGCCCATACAAGGATTTTTTCAACTTACAAACAAGGTCTTGTTTGCCATCTTCAACAAATCCTGGAGGTTGATCCATGTAAATGTCTTCTTTCAAGCTTCTATTCAAGAATGCCGTCTTCACATCCATTTGATGCATCTCCAAGTCTATTGCTTCCCCAATTGCCACAATGGTTCTAATGGTGGTGAATTTGGCCATAGGAGCAAATGTCTCATTAAAATCAACATCAACAACTTTTGAGTAGCCTTTGGCAACCAATCTAGCCTTGTATCTCATAGTATTATCCATTGCATCCCTTTTGGTTCTAAATACGCACTTACAACCAATTGAAGATCGATTTGGTAGAAGTTGAGTCAATTTTCATGTTCCATTATCCATGAATGATTTGTATTCTTCTTCCATAGCATTCTCCCACTTGATAGCATCTGTGGACTTCATTGCATCATACAAACTTAATGGATCAGCAAGAAGAGCAACATTGGCATGTTCT